ACTGGGAGGAGACTTAGCTAAAGGGGCTTTTCCCATTTGAGGTACTTTGCACTAGCCTTAGTCTGCCAGTAATGGATTTCGGCGCGGTATTTATACCAAATAAATGCTGACTCGTCGATACACTTTAGTAAAATTTATGTACAGAGTGGTATTTACTTAAGTAGCTGACAATACTTTCAAAAATCAATTGAAATCAAATCAATTTTACATAACTTTGTTCAAATTCAAGCATATTTGTAAAATTAACTTAGATTTTCAATTTTTTCTGGAATCACAAAGTTTATGTTTGTTGCAATGATATTCCACACAACTTTAAAATGTCGCAATTTTTTTTAACAAGTTGAAACATTACTAATGATAATATGCATATTAAAAAACTCTCCTTAAAGTGCAAAAGTTTTATTCTATTTAAGTAAATATTTATTATACAGTGACCGCCAAAAAGTTTGCAACAAATGGGAAAATATTTTATTATTAGGATATCAAAAAGGATGTAACGTGGGATCAATTCAGCATACCTATCAACAAAAAAAAAGCAGTGTGACAGATGTCATGTAACCACAGTTATGGCGGGAAATTTAAAAAGTTCGCCTTAAATATGTAAAAAGTGGGATTAGATGACCAGAAATTCGAAAAATTGTAGAGAGAAAAGTGGTTCAGGATTCGATTTTACGTCCATTTGTCAATTTTTGAAAAGGTACAAGGATTTTTAATAAATATCAATTTTTTGGTCTGTTTCCTGGTAATTTGAAGAATATCAAAAGCTTTTCGCAAAAATATTGGTTTGATTGAATTTAGAAAAGAGGTATTGGATCATTTAGAGAACGATTTTATGATATTTTCAAATTTGTTATTCCAAATTTTTGTGTTCTGTAGGTCATTGCAACAAGACCAGAGTGGTCTGAAAATGAATTTCTGGTTTTTTACAATTTTCCGCGGGACAATTAAGCAGAATGATTGCGCTGCCCAGAAAACAGGCCAAAAAATTGATATTTATTAAAAATCCTTGTACCTTTTTAAAAATTTACACATAGACGTAAAATCGAATTCTGAACCACTTTTCTCTCTACAATTTTTCGATTTCTGGTCATCTAACCCCACTTTTTACATATTCAAGGCGAACTTTTCAAATTTCCCGCCATAACTGTTGTCACATGACATCTGTCAAAGTGCTTTTTTTTGTTGATGGGTATGCTGAATCGATCCCCCGTAACATTCTCTTTGATATCTTAATAATAAAATATTTTCCCATTTGTTGCAAACTTTTTGGCGGTCACTGTATTATTTATTTTTTGAGCTACCTTGTATGACTTGCAACCATTCCAAGTGCACCTAATATGATTATCAGACATGCACCAACTTTCGGCCTTGTTTGTGTTTTGGTTGTGCTACATTTTACTAAAAAAAATCCCATATGTTGCACACTTAAATAACCACACTGTATATATGATCCAGTTGGATTTATTGGGAGGGATAGCAGTTTTATCTATTTTTCTGTCGGATTTGAACGTAGTAGAAACAAAATATTCAAAAAAATCACATCAGCCACCGGGTCCAGTTTCAATTTTAATAGGTCGCAGCGAACGTGTTCAAATTGTGGAATGGGCATACGCTGGGGATACCACGTTAAAAAAAAACGCGCCGGTGAGCTCTACCTTCTGGGTGGTGTGGAAACGAGTTGATAACCTATGTTTCCATTATTTAACTTTAGGTACTTTAACTCGTACATAATGTGTAAAAAATAACATGTAAATATAGCTTATATGAGATTTTGAAAAATTCATGCTAATGTTCGGTCCTGTAGCTCGGAAACTATTCGCTTGATCAAAAAAGTTTAACTAGCTTTTTTGTAGAAAATTTTATTCTCTTGAACTTCCTTTTGAAACTTTCTTCCCTAAAACTTACAGGAACCAACTTATAAGCCAAAAACTGATTTTAACCGATATTTTTTCAAGATGGCGGCGCGAGCGGCGGTCGCATGAGGTCGCAAACTTAACTGCATCTCCACGACCCCTAAGTCTACGTTCCTACCAAGTTTCAAAACTCCGCGAACGTTTGCAGGCTCGAATGTACCTTAGGACTGGCCTATTCTATTAACAACTTTTTACAGGCATTCCTGAATTGTTCTGCTGGTTACTCCCTCACACAGCCCGGCAGCTTGTTAAAAAACTTCACCTCCAGATACCCAGGACCATCTTGACAACGCTTAAGCCTACGATATTGCATTATACAATTATCTTTATTTCGGGTATCATTTTCATGTATACTACTGTATGTTTGGTAGTTATTTAGATTAGATTTTATGTAGACTAGGTTTTCCACAGTGGCGGCTCGTCAGGGGAGGCATGTAAAAATGCTACAAAATGTATTTTTATATAATTTTAAACTTAAAAAAAATTACCTACGACGCTCATTTTTTTTTGGGGCTGCCTCCCTCAGCATAAAAGTCACGGGCCGCCACTGGTTTTCCAAAATGTAATTTAAAGGAAACGTGAGCACACGTAAGTCGACAAAGGCAGCCCTGCAGTCATCCCTGTATCTCAATCCTGCCACAACCCGTACCGCCCTCCGTTGCAAACACCCTCCACCATTGGGAAGCATGGCCCCACACCAGGTAGCTGTAGGTCATAAATAAATGGAGAATGGCAAAATACGCTGTTTTCAAAACAGTGGTAGACACTTTGTTGGCTAAGCCTCTCAGAGCAAATACACTAGGCTTCTGAGTCGGCTACACACACTCAATGCGGCAATCCCACTTGAGAGTTGGATCCAGCCAACCTCCCAAGAACTTCACTCGATCTGTGCCCTCATTCACCTCACCAAGCTTTCTCAGAGCAAATACTATAGTTTGTGTTTTTTCCCTGTCAAGAAAAAGTCCGTTCGCTGCGAACCACTCACCTGTCAATCTCTGTGCCCGCAATAGCGCCCCCTGACTCTTGTTCAGCGAGCCACCCCTCACAGCAACTGTTGTGTCATCAGCAAAGAGAGTAAAACTGGATGCCTGGTCACTCAATGGTAGATCGTTGGCATATATCAAAAAAAGTAAGGGACCAAGAATGGAGCCCTGCGGCACTCCGGCAGTAATACTTCTCCTCGCTGATAGCCCCCCAGCTGTTTTCACTATCTGTGTGCGCTCACTGAGATAGGATCTTATTAACTGAATACTATTTGGATGGAAATTATAATATTTTAGTTTTTTCAACAGAGGGTTGTGGCAGACACAGTCAAATGCCTGACTAAGGTCGCAGAGCAGTACTGAGCTGTATTCTCTCGCTTCAAAAACCTCGCACACGTATGATAATAAATTTTGGATGCCTTGTCCAGTGTTCTTCCCCTTATGAAACCCAAACTGGCTCTCGGTAAAGAGGTTATTTGATTCAAAGTATTTGGTTATTTTTATGGCCATGCATTTTTCATATACTTTTGAGAAAATGGGCAGAAGATAAATGGGTCTATAGTTCTCAACACATTGTGGATCTCCCTTTTTAAATACAGGTACCTATTACCAAAGCTTCTTTTGATTTTCAGAATAAACACTGACCCAAGCAGAGAGTGACAAGCTTTGTAAGTGGGACAATAATTAGGTTATTCATTGTTAATTTAGTATTCAGTCCTGTGATATCGGTACCTACTGTTTTTTTTTTTTTGTTGACAAATGATATCTCTAACTTCAGTAAAGCCACAGGTAAAGCTCACTTCATCAAAAGTAAAAAGATTATTATTTTCAGGCATTCTGGAAAATGAGAGAGGATCTCTATCAACAGGTTCTATATTATTAGAGAGTTTTTCAGCTATTTCAGAGAAATAATTTTTAAAGTCATCTGCCAGAATACATACCTGGTCCTCTGATGATGCTATTTTCACCCTAGTTTTATTGATAATCTCCCATGTTGTTTTTATAGGATTATTTGAGTTGCGGATCATAGTGTCATTGGCCCTGATTTGTTCATTTTTTATAGCATTTTTATATATCTGGCGGCAGTTTCTCAGCTCGATTTTATTGGCTTCATTTTTATATTGATTGTACACTTCACTGAGGAAGTTTAAGTGTTCGCGCATATTTCTTAGATCATTGTTAAACCAAGTGATGTTATTGGCTTGATCCAATCGTACTGAATAAGTTTTTTGTGGGAATGACTGCAAGAACGCACCCTCAATTTTTTCTAGGAGAAGATGAAACTGTCTCCCTACATTTAATTTCGAATTGCCCATAAAATCCCAACTGATACCTTCGACAGCAATAAAAGTCTTGCATTCCCCTCTTGAAAGATGGGTCTGCAAAGCTTCCTACTCTTCAGCACTGCCCCTGTCGAAAATGGTACACTTAGGCTTATTTTTTGACACTTATGATCAGATATGCCTATTTCTACTGTAGCCACTGAGAATTGTGCCTGAAAATTAATAAAGACATTGTCCAAGCAGTCACCCTGCCTTGTGCAGTCATCGAAGGTACATAGAGGAAAATCCATAACCCCCAAGAACATCACAAAGTCACAAAGCAGAGAGCATTTCCTATCAGCAGTACCAAAGTGTACATTGAAGTCACCAGCCAAAACAATATTTTTGTTAGAGTCTACATTTACGAATACTTGTTCAAGCAACTCCAAGAAAGCATCAAAAGAACCATTTGAGGGCCTGTATATTGATATTATTAAAATCTTAAATTTAATCATGAATAAGGAACTAATTTCAACAATTGTATCAATACTTAGCCTTGTTATATGATCCAAATGTCGAGCAGTTAAGGATTTTTCAAGATATATTGCTGAACCTCCCCATTGGTGGTCCTTCCGCGCAAAGTAGCTGCCAAGATCAAGCTTCTCCATGTTTATTGCCACAAGTTCTTGTTCCGATAACCAATGTTCGGTGATACATAGAACATCAAGGTCTTCTTCTACAAATGCTGTCTCAAATTCAGGCACTTTATTCAATCCTCATAACAAATTTTAATGCAGAATTATTGATTTCAACACTTTACAAGTTTGTTCTTGTATCGTTTCTTCGTTTTGTTATTTTATGACTCAATTTCGTTTATGGTTTATTTAACTTTATTTCTTAACTGTTAAAAACCAAAAATATGTGTATTTACTGTGACAAGCACTATAGTAAGGGGTTCTAGATTTGAGGCTTAGCTTTGTCCATAAGGATTACTGTATCTTTGGACAATAAAGCATGCTTACTACTACTACTACTACTACAACTACTAGACTTAGGGGTGATTTTTGACTACATCTGACTCGGTAGAAATATTAAATATTCACATAGCTCATTACAGAGTGAATTTCTGGAAGCACGATTCTGATAATTCTATTTTTCAAAAACTTTATATATTTCCAACACACCATTGGAAGCGCTCACATTTTAAGTATGTCTGCAAAAAAACAGAATTATAGCTTGTGAAATTGAATTAATAAAATGGTAAATGTTAAGAAAAACATAGATTTTTGATTTCAAACACTCCCGGGTTTAAGTGCTGTTTTCAACGTTCAATCCTATTTAAAAAAAAAAAGAGATTCCCATAGAGATGCGATTTTACTCCACTTCCACTATTATAGATATATTACATCCACAGTCTTGGTAAAAAAGGTACATAAAAAGAATAATAAATTATTGAACAAGAATTAATAAAAGCGCTTTCGGTTTTTCTCGTTCTGTTTCTGGTAGAACATAATACCAATTACGACACAGGCCACTAAAACAATGCTTCCCAGAAGCATTAGCAGAAATATCTTCACTCCAGAGAGAGATGAAGGCTTAGGATCTTCTACGTGGTCCCGCGGTGGCTCAAAATAGGTTGCTGAAGGTAGGATATGGGATCTGTCTTCATTTGCATGAGGCTAAAAGGAGAAATAGGGTTCACTATCACATGAAAAAGTACTACATCAATTATAAGGTTGATAGGTTGAGCTTACTAAAAAATTTCCAATTAAAAACTAAATGATCCCCAGTAAGGCACTTAATTTTTATAAAACTTTATTAACGGCTATTTGCAGGGCTATAACTTAAGGGATATTTAATCTGAGTGAAGCTTTGAATCTGATTCTTGTAGAAACAAAAGTCACATTCGAAGCTAAGATTAAATATCCCTTAAGTTATAACTGTGCAAATGGCCATAAGACAATCAAAACTTAATTTTCAATTGAAGCTCATCTCAAATTATAGCAGATATTAGGTGCGTTACTTTGATTAGAGCAGAATAACAGATATGTTTGGTTTAGCTTACATCTCCAGGCAGATCCAACTCAAATAATCTCACTGAAATGATGTCATGATTATCAGACAGATCTCCAGTGGTAGCAGAAGCTCCAATATAATACCCTGTGGGTAATTGTACTCCTTCTGCTTTAAAACATTCCTTCCATGCTCTCTTGTTTTCAATATCAGTGGAAACTAAAATGTCATAAAATGTGGCATTTATTCAAATAAAACTAGAAGTAAACTTCGAAATCTACCTGTTAAAACATCATTCTCATATCTGATAGAGATATGACTTTCATGATTGAGGTTTCTAAATTTAGCTTCACAACCAGCAAGTTGAGTATGTGTTCCATCACGATCATGGTCATAATGCATGGTCCCATTGTTTATCATGGCAGATATATAAGGATGTTGATGCTACAAAAACAAAAAAAATCCAAATTTTACTCAAATCAAAAAAAAGAAATTAAAGTAACTAATAAAAATTACCTACATTATGAGGTCCATTATGATTGCTATATGTATCCAAAATAATTGCCATTCCTTGGAAAAAATCATTATTACCAAACACTGGTCCTTCAAGTAATCTATCTTTGGTATACCATATAGCAAAACCATCGCCAAACAAGTCTTTACCTTTGCCATGTACTTTGAATTGTATTTGCAGTTCCCAATTACGGTTTTTCACAGGCTAAGAGGTGATATGGTGAGTAAATGGTAGCTGAAAGTACCAATAACTACTTACAACTGAATTCCATATAGCTCCTTGTTTGCTTTGTAGATCTGGTGTTAGTCGTATATAATTAGGGGTTACTATTGTGCTACCCGTAAACTGCCAGTATGGAATATCGATACCAGATCCTACAAAATGTAAAGTCTATTACAATATGGTTGAGCTATATTAAACTTAGTTTATGATGCAAGTTAAGATCATAAAAATTATTAAAAAATAAATGTCGATCAAAATTTTCTTGCTGAATGTCAAATATTATAGACTATATAAGGCAATCCAAGGGCGGTTTAAAGGAGGTGGTGATTACCCCCCCCCCCCCCCCCCCCCCCCCCCCCCCACCCAGACAAAGATTTTCAACAAAAGACAAGTTTCTCAAAGTAAAGCATTAAAGGCATTGTAGAAACTGATAGGCTCACCAGTAGGTACCAAAGTTTGCCAGTACCGACGTACCTACTATAAAGTGAAATAAAGGGTATTCCATTTGAAAAAAAAAAAGAGCTATGGTTGTTTGAAAATTGAAATGTCTGGTTTTTTTGTACAGTAATGTGAACACTAACTAGAATGTTATCAGATTTTCATAGGAATATGAAGCAAATGTAAGTATACACTAACAACCTGCAAAAGATCTAGCTTATAGGATCTCAAAAGAATGAAATGTTGGTTTTTGTTGACACATGCAAACTGCGATTTTTTGAAAAAATATTAGATAGGTATTTCAAAAACGATTGAGTTTAAGTATAGGTAATTCCTAACAAAAAGTATGCAGGGTTTTTAGAACGATCCATTAATGTACTAAAATATAGAGTGTTCCATTTAAAATAACAAACTTCTGTTACATACCCCATTTACGGAGCACCCTGCATATTCAAAAATATTTTTAACTAATGCACCTTCGAGTGCACCTTACAGTGGCGGCTCGTGACAATCCAAACTGGTGAGGCCCATGGCCCATCAAGTTAACCCAAACAAACCCAAACAAAATTTTCAAGTGTTACGCCCAAATTTTGACCCAAAATTTCATTAAAAGAACATCTCGGATATTTTTTTTGTATATTTCTAATGAAAATTTTAATTTCTTACAGTTGCAAAACCACAGCAGTAGGTACATAATTCTTATTTTAATACAAATAGGTATTGAGTTTCAAATTAACAAAATAAATTCCAAAAAACATTTTTTTTAACCCGCAACAGACCAAAATAAAAAGTATGAGCCAATCAACCAATTAAACACTTGTCGCAGCAGCAAGAGATGCAAGGTTTCTTATTAACAAGCCCAAAATTGTGCGCCTCAATGCCTATGAAAATTCGCTATCGTCTCACCTACAGTTGAAGCGTTGTGGTGGGGAGTGCCGTGGCATCGCTTCGGCGTTCTGTGACGCACATGAGGCCAAAATTTTTGGGATTGCTATTTTATTTTAATGCTGTCCGGCAACGATTTGAGCGCCTATAAGGATAAATAGGTAGAAGCGCGCGCTAAATTCAAGAAATAGTATTATATTTTAATGAAAATTCGATGTTTTGATTCTCTCAATGATTGAAAATAGTTGAAAAACGTTAAATATTTAATGAATATTATTTCAAAATTTTACATCATTATTGTAATTTTTACATGTGAGGCCCGGCCTCAGTTGCTTTATACGACGAGCCGCCACTGGCACCTTAGAGCATCAAACAACTTTGTAATTTAATTTTTTTTTCTTGCATCACCAGGTAATGACAATGAGATATCGTCCGATATTGCACTAAAGTGGACACCCCATATAATTATTTTGACGGAATCGGGATACATTTTTGCCCAAGGCGTGTTTTTTGAACGACTTTCGGGTGCAAATTTGGGCGTGGCACCCCGAAAAGAAAAATACGCCGCGGGCAAAATGCGATTAGAACAGCTACCACAACTAAGTACAATACATAACGCATGCATTTTCCAAAAAATCAACACTTGACAGACTTTACACAAAATCAAAAATCGCAATAAAACGTAGCGTATATGGCATTGGCCTCCATTTTGAATTTATTTTTGACAGGTCGTTGGATTTACAGTGACTCTATTACCACAGTGGCGACAGTTGCCGTTTGAATTTTGATTGGTTATTTAAAATCCTATATATTCATATGGAAAACGCCGCCATTTTTGAGCTTACCTCCTGCTAATTTTAAATATGAATATATAGGATTTAAATGGACAATAATGGACATCCATCATAACGAATTGAGAACAACGTATTTCATGTACCTAAGATTAGTCATCAAATACATTGTTTTCAATTTTTTTATGATAGATGTCCATTTAAATCCTATATTTTCATATTTAAAAATAGCAAGAGGTAATCCCCAAAATGGCGGCGGGACCTCCATTGTCGCCAGTGTATGTAAAGTGTTATTCAGTCACTGTAGTTGGATTGGCAATCCAAACTACAGTGGCTAAATAAACCTTTACATCAGGGATGGGCATCTACGCGTAAATAAAGATTGTCTACGTCTGGTGTAAACAACGCGTAGACAATGTTAACTATGTAATCTATGTAGGCAACGTGTAAAATATGTAGACAACGCGTAAAGTATACAATTTTTGACAGTTGACAGGTCTTTAAGGTGATGTTTCTGTTTTTGCTTTGTTTTGTTTTTGGCTTTGTAAAGTTAATTAAACTGCAGATAAATGTCTAATTTGATACAATATAACTTTAATGCAATGCAAACTTCCAAAAAAATTACTCATATTTCAAATTTTCTGTTGTCTACATTGTCTACATAGTTTACATAGTCTACATGGAAAAAAGTGGATGTAAACAATACGTAGACAAACCGCGTAAAGTAGATTTCATAGTCTACGGCACATCCCTGCTTTACATACAGTTGCGACAATAGAGGTCACGCCGCCATTCTGTGCCCAACCTCTTTGCTACTTCTAAATATGAATACATAGGATTTAAATGGACATCCATCATAAAAAATTGAAAACAACGTATTTGATGTGCCTAATCGGATACGTTGTTTTCAATTTTTTATGATGGATGTCTATTTAAACTCTATATATTCATATTTAAAAGTAGCAAGAGGTTGGGCACAAAATGGCGGCGTTTTCCATATGAATATATAGGATTTTAAAGACCAATCAAAAAGAAGACGTCAATTATCGCCACTGTGGTAATAAAGTCACTGTAATCCAAACCAGGTGACATTCAAGATGGCGTTACGGCCACACATAAGCCAAAAAACAGAAAAACATCTAGTTTCTGCCCGACTGAATAGTTTATGTCAGAGATGGGCATCTACGCGTAAACAAAAATTGTCTACGTCAGGTGTAAACAACGCGTAGAGACAATGTAAACTATGTAATCTATGTAGACAACGTGTAAAATATGTAGACAACGCGTAAAGTATACAATTTTTGACAGTTGGCAGGCCTTTAAGGTTATGTTTCTGTTTTTGCTTTGTTTTGTTTTTTGCTTTGTAAAGTTAATTAAACTGCAGATTTAATTTAATTTAACTTAATTTGTTTATTAACGGACTTGCCATTTAGCTTTTACAATCTATCGTAAATTACAGATAAGGTCTAATTTGATACAATATAAATTTAATGCAATGCAAACTTTCAAAAAAAATTACTCAAATTTCAAATTTTCTGTTGTATACATTATCTACATAGTTTACATAGTCTACATGGAAAAAAGTGGATGTAAACAATACGTAGACAACGAGTAGACAAACCGCGTAAAGTAGATTTCATAGTCTACGGCAGGGATGTGCGGTAGACAATCTTTGTTTACGCGTAGATGCCCATCTCTGGTCTACGGCACATCCCTGGTTTATGTACCTACTAAACAAATATTTTATTGAATAATCAAAATCAGAGCAGCAAGCAAAATAATTAAAATATGGATGAAAACGCATATTCAAAACAAACTTGCTGGCCGCCACGCCATATTGAATTTTTCAATTGACAATATTAGTTAGGTTAGGAAAAGTCGGGCGCGATATTTGAAATGGGTTCCTAAATACATTTCAACAAATTTGACAGCAATGTATTTCTTATGGGGGAGTGGAAAAGAGTAATTTTCAGACGGGAATACCTCGGGTTCTGGGCATTTCTAGTGTTTGAACCTATTATACGTCAAACTTTGAACATATGTCTCTACAATTTTTGCTCTAATTGTTTTTTTAGACCTATAAGTTAAAAATATAACTTATAATTAAATTAAAGTGTCTGTTTTCCCTCCTGGACCTATGTCGCAAATGATGCCAGCATTAAGAAAGTGAGGTTGTGTGTTGTGTTATGATTGTCCGTGAATTGTTTATTTACGTATTTATCATTAGGTTTGTCATTGTTTATCGATTTTGAACTAACATCTACTAACCAAGTATGTAGGTACACTTTTATTTTATTATAATTATAGGTACAATTATAGACACAATGACAAATACAAGGTACAAGTGACAGATACAAAATAGCAAAACATCGGGATTTTGTATCTTGGCGTGGCAAGTAAATTGTATCCTGCATCCATTTATTCTGGGTTATAGCATTGATACACCTGTTATTATATTTTTGTCTCTTGTCAGTTGTACCTTGTATTTTGTAATTAGTTATATTCCTTTAATACCTAGGAGGAGAGAAGCTCCGGGGCTTTACGCGCTTATTCCTTTCGAAAAGTGTTTGTTGCACCAGAAGCGCCCAAGCCCGAATTAAACCATTTAAATGCACGAAAGTCAGCGCATCTGTTCCTTTCAAATCGGGGTCGACTAACACCGGAGCGAGTAGCTCTAGTGTTTTAGAGCCGTTTTACACGGCAAAGTTTCTTCACGAAATTATTCACGAAATTATTGCCGAAATATTTCGTAAGTTTACTATTCTTGGTTTCGCTTTTTCCTGTTTGACACGGCAAATGAAAGTCTAGCAAAAGTTTCGTGAAAATATTAGTCATACGCAGGCGCAGTTACGTTTTGCCATCAATAATATCAAATCATAACCTCATACTTTGATAAACCAAATAAATAAAACTTCCGTTTTCTAATTATTGTTGAATCTTTGTACCCTCCTGCAGTTTCATAAAGTTGAATTTGTTTTTTCCTTCCATAAATAAACTTCGTTTTTTTTTTTATTTGCCCAGCTGTTTTTGAGTGCATTACTTTTTTCACCGATGAGCAGTCTATCCTTATCTATTACATAGGAAATTCAATGAGGCATTCATAGACTCCACGAAAAAGGAACTGCCTTTTAGTGTGCGCCGAAACTCACACATATTTTCGGCCACGCCCACAAAAACTATAGAACATTTTCTAAAGTTTATTCGTGAAATATTTCGTAAGTTTTTCTTGTCGTGTTAGGGTTTCCAGACCTCCTATTTTTAATATGAGACTCATATATTTTAACTGTTTCTCATATCTCATATTAGCATGTTTAATATGAGACCATTTCTCATATATTTTCATTAAAAAAAAGAAACCATGAATATTCACTACCATACATGTGATAGGCCGGAGTCTTATGCGTCCCATCCGACCGTCCGATGGTAAGACGGAGCTCCTATTGGCTGAAAAATTTCCCGCCAGTTTTTATCCGAATATTTTCACCTTTTTTCTGACGTCGACGAATAAATATGTAATATTTTACTTTTGTCTCTTTTGTGTATAATGAATAAAAATAAAAGTAAAAGAGAAAAAAAAACAAAACGATTTCGGGTCAGGGATTTATTTAAACATCAAAAAACCCAAGGTGTTGTCCACAACTTGTTATTAATGTCTGTTTTTAAGATACTCCCCCAAGTCAAAAATTTAGTATGTTGGTAACACAAGCCTTTTCCACATAAAAAATTTCAAAGCATTGACAATTTTACATTGTATTGCCAAAACATAATGTCATTTTGACTTTTATCTTTAAAAAAAAACAGACATTACAAGAAATGAGACTGACGGGTCAGGAGGAGTACTTAACTATCTAAACGCTAAACGAATTTCCAGCAATACATTCCGAAATTCTGCTAAAAATCATAGCTAAAATCAAGATGGGAGCTTTTTCGGCGAGTTTTTCGGATTTGGGTATTTTGTAGTACCTACATAAAATATTCTCATATATTATTATCCAATCTCATATAATTTTACACAGGCTCTCCTATTTTCACAACTCAAGTATCTGGCAACCCTATGTCGTGTAAAACAGGAAAAGTTGACTTACGAAATATTTCTGCAGCAATTTCGAAAGTAATTTCGTGAAGAAACTTTGCCGTGTAAAACGGCTCTTAAACTATTGAAAGGAATACAACTAATGTGTCTTCGGTCTTAGGCAATCCCATCCATCTGTCAAAAAGGAAAATTCAATATGGCGTGGAGGCCAGGCAAGTTTGTTTTGAAAATGTTTTCATGCTTATTTTAAATTATTTTGCTTCCAACTTTGATTTTGATTATTTAATAGAATATTTGTTGATTAGGTACCTAAACTATTAAGGGCGGGTATTATCAAACTGCTTTGCCAGTTAACTTAAAGTTAACTTTTTGAATTACATGTAATTCCAGAAGTTAACTTTAAGTTAACTCTCAAAGCAGTTTTATAATACCCGCCCTAAATCAGGTAGAAACTAGAGGCCGGATTCTATTTTACGAGTCGAGTCGAAATTCGTATCGAATTGTCAAAATAGCGATTCTATTTTTCGATTTTTCCATATGTTACATAGTACGTCCGGAGCTGTCGTATTTGATATCGAGACAATTCGACTCGATTCATAAAATAGAATCCGGGGGCTGTGTTTTTTAGCCCATGTGTGGCCGCCACGCCATCTTGAGTGTCACCTGGTTTGGATTGCCTAATATATATTTATGGATTAAGCAATGACATACATATGTCGAGCATTTTTTAGAAATTAAAATTATTATACAAGGGTCGCAGAAAAGCTGGACAGGTAGTAACTTCATTTTTTTAGATAGACACCCCTAATTTTTTCTACATTTTCGGATTTCTGATAAAATTCTAAGTATTTTTCATGAAACATGTCCTATACCTAAATTCGACTGTTAGTTAGGAAATATTGACAGTTGACAATTGACTTTTTTGCAACTTTGAGAGGGTGTAAAACCTAAACAGGTAATTTTAGAGGAAAACCGATTTTACTTTCCCATCTTAGATTTTCATAAACTATCATTTGACACCAACTTTGAATTTAATCCGAGATTAAATTTAATTGGAATTTTTAATCATGGATTGAATTCGAGGTTGGTGTCAAATGATAGTTTGCATTAATGCATTAATTTTTGAACAAAAAGTGAACCAATGGAAAAACTCCGATATGAATGATCCGAGGAATGATCATTTGACAAGAACCTGTGGTCTTGCCTGAATCAAGAACCAATAGACAAGAATAGCATTATTGATCAGGATTAAGGAGCCTTTAATAAACTACGGGAGAAACTTCCTATAAATATCCTTTGTTTTGGTTCGACACAAGGACAGTTCTAGAACAATTCAAAACAATCACACAGTTTATTATTAGAATTTGTGATAGCCGAGCCGTTGTCATTTTGTTGAATGATGAACTGTGCAATTGTTTTGAACCGTTCTAGAACTGTCCTTTTTTTGAACCAAAACAAAGCTTTTTTTTTTATCTACATGAGTGAGTACCTCTGATTAAGATAATAATTGATATCTCTCTACAAAAATTGAATAGACATGTTGTAAAAACAACAAGCAATTACCTATCCATTATCAAATTATTGACAAATATGTAGGCGATAAGGGAAGGCCTCGGGAAAGGCTGAGAGTCTCAGAGACCGGTCTAATTTTATACCAATACCTATTGATTGAAAATTAACTCAGCATTCAAATTACTCACCATAATAGGGTTTTATTAGAGCATGTTCCCTTTTCATAAAGTCTTTGGTATTCCATTCTGCCCTAATCACTTTAGATATAAGAATTATTGTGATACAATATTTCGCCAAGGCACTATAGAAAAGCATGTTCTGTTTTTGCTAGGCGAATTTTATAAAAAGGTTCTATTTAACCAGTAATTTCCAAATACACCTATGTGTTTATTTCCAATTCTAATAAGTTGTTGGCTCCAACACGCAACAAGTAACTTTTTTAAATGACTGTAAGTAAAATGAAACTGTAAAATGTAAATAAATTGGAATTGCGCTTCGATTCGATTATCCGATTGTTGATTTTTCAATTCATTATCGGTCTGTCATTTGTTCACTGTCAATGTCATATTTAGGTGGTGTATCATCCTTGGTGGTGTATACCGTTTGTACTTTTGGTTAACCGGTCGGTAAAGTAGCTACTTGAAAATGGGGCGCGTTCTTTTATTCAGCAATGGATCCATCTGCTGCCAGCATTATAAGACAGACATTCCTATTTTCTATTAGCTAGACAAAGAAAGGCTGATTACTGATGGATCCACCGCTGAATAAAAGAAAGCGCCCATGGTTAGGAACGGACAAGGTCGTGTTTATGTTGGAGCTGTGATACACGATAAAAGGCGGTTAAGGCGGTTACTCACGGACGTGGATGTCTGAGAACATGTAGGTACGCACATACATGAACGTACAAACAAAAACATCAATGTGTATGCAAAATACCTTCGCGTTTTTGAATGTGCAATTTTGTATGCTCACTCGGAACACTGTAGCAAGAATAGCAAGAATGCAGTTTTGTGCGAGCGTCTGTACAAAAGCGCCATGCACGTTGTTGTTTGCACATTGATGTATGCACGTATATGTATTAAGACATCCACGTCCGTGTGTAACCGCCCTTACGAAGCTCTATTGCGTGCTCAAAAGCGTCAGCTGGAAAGCGGCTATAATCACGGTCTAAGGTCGTGTTTATGTTGGAGCTGTGATACACGATAAAAGCAACGATAATAATGTAAAGTATCATTAGTATCGTTGCTTTTATCGTTTATCACAGCTCCAACATAAATACGGCCTTAGGAGTGCTTATCGGCCTCGTTTTTGGTAATCGCCGCCATCTTGGTGTGCCACCGTTGCCGACGTCATAACTAAGTCGTCAGCTGCTTTAACAGCCTACGTCAAGGCGAGATAGCATGCTGCCTTCGTAACAACTGGTATTTTGGAGGGGCGGGGAGGATTTGCTACACACAGGCCTTATGAGGATAGGCCATCCAGCATCCAGTACTCAGTAGTAGTAGTGTGTATCATCCTTGGGAACGGACCACAACACACTACTCTTCGGTAAGCATCTTGTTATTTTTGTCATCTCTAGGTGTATGTTTGACACAGAAAAAATACCAAAAAATATCGCCCGTTAAGCCTCGTTCGGAAACATGTACCTATTTAGCCGACCAAATTTTTTCTCTAACAACTTTATTAATCATTTTTACTTTAATTACCTTATATTTTTATCTTCGAATATATATTTTTTTAATATTCGTCAAATGCAATCATTTGGTGGTCTTTGGTATCTCAGTTTTACTATTTCGTGGTAGGTACCTAATTACTTTGGCAGCTCAACAATTCAAAATATCATATGTCGTTGGCCGACATACCTACTGATAATTAATTTTAATGGACAATAGACCTATCTATTTTACCTAGATACAGAGGTAATAATACAAAAACTTCATCAGATAAAAAAAGACAAAGAACGCTCATTGCGCAAGACGAGGCAAAACATACCAAATTAGGTTAGACCTACGTATAGCAATCAAGGGCGGTTTAAAGGGGGGGTAGAGGGGGTAATTACCCCCCCCCCCCAGACAAAGATTTTTTCTATACATTTAATAATCACAACAAAATTTCAACAAAAGACAAGTTCTACAAAGTAAAGGATTAAAGGCATCGTATGAATATGATAGGCTCACCAGTACCGACGTACCTACCAAGGTTCCTAAAGTTCATAGGTTGTCTGGTATTGGGCAACTTGATGATGCATCTGGGGGCCTTATGCAGATTTGCATTATGTTGAGGCACCCCATAAAGTTATCAGACAACCTACCTCTCTCAAACAACCCTGCGTACTTACTATTATACAGTGCTATGGTTGTTTGAAATGTCTGGTTTTGTGTATAGTATTGCGAACGCCCTGTAGAATGTTAACAGATTTTCATAGGACCATGAAGTAAATGTAAGTAAAGTCCGTCATTTCTAAACTGATACTTTTCGTATGAGGAGCGAGGGGGTATTTCATATGACAAAAACAGGTGTGACGTCAGGTAACCATTGGCGTTCTAATGTAGGGAACCACCAGCTCAAATTCCGTTGGAGTATCAGATTAAAATCGACAGACATTATACACTAACAACCTGCAAAAGCTTTATATATAGGATTTTCAATGGATGAAATATGTTGGTTTTTGTTGACACATGCAAGCTGCGATTTTTTGAAAAAATAATGAATATTTTAAAAACGGTTGAGTTTTGGTATAGATGATTCCTAACAAAAAGTATGTAGGATTTTTAGAACGATAGAACGTACTAAAATATGGGGTGTTCCATTTAAAAATAATAAAGTTCTGTCGCATACCCCATTTACAGAGCACCCTGTATATTTAAAAATATTTTCAAGTAATGCACCTTAGAGAATCAAACAACTTTAAATTTTTATTTATTTTTTTCTTGCATCACCCTGTAAGAAGATATCGTCTGATATCGCACTAAGTGGACATCCTGTATAACTATTTTGACGGCATCGGGATACATTTTTGCCGCAAGCGTGTTTTTTAAACGACTTTCGGGTGCAAATTTGGGCGCGGCACCCCAAAAAAAATTTCGCCTCCAGCGGTTCCGACACTTGATAATTTTCCCGTCATCCATTCATCGGTTAACAGTGGTTGCTGAAATTTCGGTTTCATACGGAACGCTTCTCCAATCGCAGAATCGCCGCCGGCTGCCTTGGTGACCAGGGATGTGCGTCTACACGTAGACTTTCATTGTCTACTTTACGTGTAGATAATGTAGACAATGTGTCAACAATGTAGACAATGTGTCAACAATGTAGAATAATATAAATGACGTTTAATTCTAACCTCACACTTTCCTTTTTTTTAATTATTTTTATTTTATTATTGGTTTTTCTGATATTTTATAATCAGTGAATGCTAATATCGAAGTAATAGTGGTAGTATAGTAACTTTTGATATTCTTTTTTGAATTTTTTAAAATAAGTTATTGTTTACGTCGCATGTAGACAATGTGTAGACAAATGCTCACGTAAACAATTCGAATTGTCTACGCGTAGACAATCAATTGTTTACGTTGTCTACAGGCACATCACTGTCGGTGACATGTTTGACATAACCATTTTCAGGAACCGCGTTCCGTATATATAGATCGGTTTTTCAGGAACCTGACATTACGGAACATGTGACCGTAACCCGCGTAACCAAGGTTGGAGCCAGCGGTCAGTGATGTGCCTGTAGACAACGTCAACGTAAACAATTGATTGTCTACGCGTAGACAATTCGAATTGTTTACGTGAGCATTTGTCTACACATTGTCTACATGCGACGTAAACAATAACTTATTTTAAAAAATTCAAAAAAGAATATCAAAAGTTACTATACTATCACTATTACTTCGATATTAGCATTCACTGATTATAAAATATCAGAAAAACCAATAATAAAATAAAAATAATCAAAAAAAAAGGAAACTGTGAGGTTAGAATTAAACGTCATTTATATTATTCTACATTGTTGACACGTTGTCTACATTGTCTACATTACCTACACGTAAAGTAGACAATGAAAGTCTACGTGTAGACGCAAATCCCTGCCAACGGTACCGCAATCGTGTCAAAAAGTCTTGGGGCCTCATTACGAACGTCCGATACGCATCGAATCCTCCATCTTTTTCTGGAATAGCCGTTACGAACGTACTCGAAGCGAGACAACTCGAATCGAGAACCATTCCGTAGCTTCCGACAACAGCTATTGACGGAATCGTTTTTTGCCGTTCTTGCACACACACTTGTTTTAGTTTTGTTCTTGTTTTTCTGGTTATGCCATTGGGTATTGGGGTGCGTTTTGCCTCGTTTTGTTTTTCTTGTGTTTTTATCAATGGTTTTTATTAAAATATATTCGTACATACATGCGAGCATTCACCCTAGATAGACGAGACCGGCCCATGGCCATAAGACATACGTTCGCCAAAATATCGAACATTGTGTACTGCGACTGACGTCACGTGCCGTCAGTCACAGTTCTCAACCGGATCGTTTCTATTAAAACAGTGCATTTTGACCTTAAAACTCGTTGCGTCCAGTGTTATTTGAACAATTATAATAATTTAGAAAAAAATTGAAAAATGGAACTTTTATTTTGAATTCCACCATGGAGATTCGTTTTGAAAAAGACAATAGGAATGGTACAAAACTTGGCAAGATAACTATTCAAAACGGAAACAGATTCACCCTTTAATTTAAATTTTTGCAAACTAAGAATGATAATTAGAATGAATTACTACAGATAATATTTAAAAGCCAAATTCACCAACAGTATGAAAAGAAAATCTACGTGTAGAGAGGAAATAAGAAATAGCTTATGCCATAAAGCACACGGCTTCTACATACTAAATCACCCTTGGCTAAATGTTTCATAATTATTAATATTCTCTGTTTGTCAAAAAACACAAGGTTGTTATAATGATTTAATTTTTGCATGTCTAAATACCTATCAAAATATAAAGCGAAACATGGTTGCAATCTTTAGATATTCATATGCATAATCCATAGAAACAGTGCAAGTTTCCCATCAAATCCATGCATTCAATGATGAATGATGCATTTACATAGTGAAAGCAACAATAAAGGACTGCAGCTGACGTCACCTCCAGCGAGAGTTTTCGCATTCTACCATTGTACTTGCGGACAGCTGATTTAGCCGATTCTTGTGTTCGTAATCAATTCCTCGTTCGTTACGATGCGTCTACGGTTCGAATTTGCCTTCGACTTCGACTCGGAAACTTTTTCGTATCACGAGAGATCTTAGATTTTTTTCTTGACTTAAGTAGCTTAAGTCGTTTTTAAGGGTCACACCCCCTTTTTAAGGGTTTTCTGCATAGGATTCCTCAGAAAGATCTGAATTACCTATTAGATAATATTAGATTGGTGTGAAAAAAGTATCGCAATAATGGATCTATATGTAATTACAGCACTATAGACGTACCAAACTGTTCATTGATCCCATATTGATCCAAACGCTAATCATAATCATGAAGAGAAAATGTTC